CCGCGGCACCAGCACCCTCAGCAGCCGAAGAACCTCCAGCTCCAGCAGCACGCCTCCAGCGCCGGGCAAACCACTCGCGCAGCTCCTGTGGAGAGAGTGGCTCCCGCCGAGACGAAGCACCCGGAGAACCTCCAGGCTCAGCACCGCCAGACGCCACACGAGCAGGCCCAACTCCCTCAGGCTCCGCACCCCCAGGCTCAGCACCTCCAGGCGTAGCACCCCCAGGCTCAGCACCCCCAGGCTCAGCACCCCCAGTAGTAGCACCCCCAGGCTCAGCACCCCCAGGCTCAGGACCCCCAGTAGTAGCACCCTCAGGCTCAGCACCCCCAGGCGTAGCACCCACACGCTCAGCACCCCCAGAGTCAGCACCCCCAGGCTCAGCACCCTCAGCAGCACCAGAGTCACCAGTAACCTCGACAGGCTCGACTGCGTCTACCTGGGACACACCTGAAGGGGCAGGACCCTGAGGGGGGAGGGGGTCTACCGGGGGGGGACCTGGCACAAGGAAGAGCGGTGGCGGGGGGAGGGACGGAGTGCGGTAGGGGAAGAGGCGGTAGTAGGGGACCGACTCGTCAAACGTGACGTCCTGGGAGGACAGAACACGGCGAGAGGTGGGGTGGTAGAACTGCCACCCTGGCGCGTCAGGGGGGAAGCCAAGGAAGACGCAAGGAGCAGCACGAGGGGACAGCTTGTCCGCAGACAAGTCGCGGACAAACGCCCGAGATCCCCAGACACGGAACGCAGACGCATCGCCAACCTTCCCCGTCCACAGCAAGGCTGGGGAGGTCTCCGGCATGGAGACCCTGGGGTGAAGGTTGATCTGATGCGCCGCGTACCGAACCGCAAACGGCCACAGAAAATGGGGGGCAGCCGCATGCATCATGGACGTACGGGCGACGTCCATGACCATGCCAATGCGGCGCTCAGCAATCCCATTTTGCTGTGGAGAGTCCGGAAGCGTGAAGGTCTGGCGGATGCCTCGTGCACGACAGTAGGCTCGCAGAAGGCCAGAGGAGAACTCTCCACCTCTGTCAGAGTGCAGACGCAGAACAGGAAAGTCCGAGCCGAAGCTCTGCCTGAGCTGGAGACGAGCTGCGTGGATCCAGTCGATCAACACCTCAGTGACATCACCCTTGCTGCGCAAGGGGAAGACTGTGGTGTAACGCGAGTAGTCGTCAACCACCAGCAGGAAGTAGCGCTCGTGACCCTGTCCACGGACGCGGGCCGGGCCCCACACGTCCATGTGAAGCGTCTGCAGCGGGGCCTCTGTCGGAGGAAACTGGGAGGAGTGAGGGGCAGCCCGCTGCCGCCCCTCGACACAGGGGACGCAGGTAGGGCCAGGCCCCGGAGGAAGGGGAGGGAGGGACCGGGGAAGACCAGAGACAAGGACACGGGAGGCCATGCCTCGGAGACGAAGCAGGGAGGGGTGACCAAGGCGGTGGTGCCAGAGGAGAGTCTCGTGAGACAGAAGGCGACACGAACAGGGGGCAGACTCAGGACCAGACCTGGACGCTACAGCAAACACCTGACCCGACGCAGCTACCTGACCAGACGCAGTGACTGGAGGAGACGCAGTGGTCATTGTGTACAGGCTCGACCCCGGCCGACGTGTAAACGTGGCCAGGTGTCGGCCTGTCCGAGCGTCCGTGCAGTGGGTCACCCGCTGACTCGCAGGAGTGAACTGGTGAACCCCCGCATCCTGTAGGTCAGCACCACTCACCAAGTTCGTAGAGAACGAGGGGAGGTAAAGACCAGACAGGGTGCCAGAGGGGGCCGCCGGACACGGGAGGACAGTGGAGAAGTGAGCAAGGACAGGACCCCCAGAGGGGTCTGCCAGAGAGACTGCAACTGGCCGGCCAAGCGGCGTGAGTCTGGTGCGGTCTCGAAAGAAGGAGCGAGAAGCCCCCGAGTCAAGGGTGAAGGTGTGGGAGGCCGAAGCCGACGCAGAACCTGAGAGAGCAGACTCACCAGCACCTGAGGGAGCAGACGCACGAGCACCTAGAGCAGCAGCCTCGCTAGCACCTAGAGCAGCAGCCTCGCTAGCACCTAGAGCAGCAGCCTCACCAGTACCTAGAGCAGCAGACTCAATGCCCGGGTCGGGCGGAAAACACCGGTAACAGTCACCCTCATCACTAATAGTCACAGTATACATGGCAGCAAGAATAGCATCAAAGTCAAGGTCAAAGACAGCTACACCCGCCCTAGACAGCTCACCCCAGCAGGGGATCTCAGTGGCCTCAGGGAACTGGTGACGCCAAGCGTCCGTCAGGCGGCCAAAGCAGCGCTGGGTGGAGTGCGCACCCCAGCACTGCTCGCCCGCGCGGTCTCCGGTGCGTAGGACGTAGGTGCACGGACCAGTACCCCCACCCCGCTGACGTGCAGCGTACCACTCACGGAGCTGCTGAGGGGGGGGGATGTCACGAGTGCGCTGCTGCTGCTGCTGCTGCTGCTGCTGGCGCTGACCACCACCGGAGCCGACCCTCTGCGCAGCGCCACCCCGACCAGCTCCACCTCCTCCGCCGCCGCCTCCTCCACCGCCGCCACCTCCGCTCCCACCGCCACCGCCGCCGCCGCCTCCGCCTCCACTGCCGCCACCGACACCTCCACCCCCGCCACCACCCCCACCGCCACCCCCACCCCCTCCACCGCCTCCACCGCCGCCTCCACCGCCCCCGCTAGCTCCTCCAGTGCCCCTGCCCCCCTTGCCCTTGCCAGGGCGGCGTCTCCCGCTAGGGGTAGACGCCGCACCGACCGACTCAAGCCCAACGAGGTCGGCCGCAGCAGCAGAGGCAACAGAGGGCAAAAGGGGGGAGGGGGAACACCCAACAAAGATGGGGGTGCGAGGGTCACCACGAGAGGCTCCTACAGCTACTATGCTCTTTTCTGCTGCTAGGAGGGCCTTCTCGAGGAGGTCAACGGTGAGAGTGGTGGGGCAAACTGAGAGGAAGTGGTCCCTGACTACGCGAAGGGAGTCAGGGAGCCGGGTGACTATGTAGTAGAGGGTGATGTACATGGGGGGGGGGTTCTTGGCGCAGAACTCAGCAGGAAGCGCAGCGCGGTAGCGAGTGTCACTAGTGCGGAGGTGCGTAATGAGGTCAGCGACTGTGGGAAAGGCAGCAAGGTCAGGGAAGAGGTACGGTAGCATGAGGCGGCTCAGTGCAGCAGTGGCAGGGGAGGAGTAGCGCGCAACTACAGCGTCGTACAAGGTCTGAGCACTCTTGTACTGGCTAAAGTGCGCACGCTCAGAGGTAGGCAGGTGGCGACGCACAGCAAGACGTGCAGCAGCATCGCGAGTGGCCCACTGTGAGCGAACAGTGGCGTCGGCATCAGCAGCAGGGGCAGGAGAGGCACCAGAGGTGAGGTCAAAGAGGGAGAGACCGTCTGCCCTATCGCACTGTAGGAAAAGCTGCAGGTCATCTACCCAGACGTCAAAGTCAATGGCCCGACCCTCAGCGTCAAAAGCGAGGACACTAGGGGTAGCCATGACAGCAGTAGACTAGCAGCGCGAACAGTAGGGTAAGGGCAGTGCAGTGACAGAGGCGCTGCTCTTACCAGACAGGGCGGCTCGGGTGGCTCGGCGGCTCAGCGGCTCGGCAACTCGGCGGCTCGGGCGGCTCGGGCGGCTCGGCGGTACGGCGGCTCGGCAGCAACAGCGGCTCGGCGACTCGGCGGCTCGGGCGGCTCGGGCGGCTCGGCAGCACGGGCGGCTCAGGTGGCGCGGCAGCTCGGGCGGCTCGGGTGGATCGGGCAGCTCGGCAGCAGCTCGGCGGCGCCGGCGGCGCGGTGGTGACGGCGGGGCCGCGCGGGGAGCGGCGGCGGGGCCGGGTGGAGCGGCGCCGGTAGGGCCGAGGCGCACCGACGGGTGCAGTCAGCGGCGGCAGCAGCTGCGGCCCCGAGGGAGGTGGTGGCGGCTGCTGCTGGCGACGGCTGCGGCTGCTGCTGCAGGGACGGCGGCGGCCGCTACTGTAGGGACTGCGGCGGCTGCTGCGGCAGGGGCGGCGACGGCGGGCCGGAGGGGGGCGGCGACAGGGCCGAGAGAGGCCGCGAAGGGCGGCGAAGGGGCCGTGAAGGGCGGCGCGAGGGGCCGCGGAGGGCGGCGACGGGCCGTGATAGGGCGGCGCGAGGGGCCGCGGAGGGCGGCGACGGGCCGTAGGGGGCCGTAAGGGGCCGCGGGAGGGGCCGTAAGGGGCGTAAGGGGCCGCGCGAGGGGCCGTAAGGGACGGCGCGAGGGGCCGTAAGGGGCCGCTAAGGGCGGCGCGAGGGGCCGACGGGCGGCGCGAGGGGCCGTAAGGGGCCGTAAGGGCGGCGCGAGGGGCCGTAAGGGTGGCACGAGGGGCCGTAAGGGCGGCGCAGGGGGCCGTGAGAGGGGCCGCTAAGGGCGACGCGAAGGGGCCGTGAGGGGCCGTGAGAGGGCGCGACGGTAGGGAGGGCACACAGGGCGCGACTCGGGCAGGAGCGAAGCGCGCTTCGGGCAGGAAAAAAAAATTCGTGGTGGGCCCTAGGAAGTGTTCCCACTAGGGAACCTGCTCGATACCATGAGAAGAAACGAGGAATGGAATGACTAAAGGAAAGTTGGGTACAAAAGCAAGCCCTAGAAAACTGTACCCCATATGTGCTACCCCACTATAGCCTACAGTAGCTATGTCATATAAATCTGACACCCGGGGGTGTACAATTACCGGGGGGTGTTTTATCCGGGAGAATACGGTTCATATTTGTTGCAAGGTCAACTGGTTACGGTAGTTGTTTCTGGGAAAGCTCTACAATAGTTTCCACTGTGTGACAAAGTCCGTTGTTTCTCTAGCCAAAACCACTGAGCAGGGCTGCAAGCACATTTGCACCTGCAGAAGGAACGTCATCTAGCCCAATCACCATAACGTGTGGCAAAAAAATCATCTTCACAACAAGGCTGAAGCTTAGCATTCCAGAACGGACAACCAATCCATCATAAACACCCACCATCAAACTTTCTCGGTATTTCAAACCACATAACTTCATTGCTATTGCGCAGGAGCAGCATCAGCAGCAGCAGCCACAGCAGCAGCACCATCAACATCCTCCAACCTGCCATGCACCAACCCAAGCTTCCTCTTAAGATACATAATCAGATTGGCCCTCGACACCTCCTCCTCCTCCCTGCGCTCCAAGTCCTTCACCTTCACAGTGCCCTTGTCCAGCTCAGCAGACCCAAAGATGACCATCCAGGGGATGCCGGCCTTGTTGGCAAACTCCAGCTGGCGCTGCATGTTGGGCGAGGCGGCGAGCACAAACTCCGCCTTCACGCCCTCCGCCCAGAGCGCCGAGGCAATCTCCATGCGCGTGCGCAGCAGGTCCGGCCCGATGCTCGCCACCAGCACCTGCGTCTCCGTGGCTCGGATGAGCTGCGGCGAGAGATGATGGGGGAGAGAGGTGACGGGGGGGGGGGGGAGAGAAGGGCGGTAAGTATGGTGGAGGGAGATGGGTGGTGGTGAAGGGAGGGAAGGGGAGTGTGGGGATGGCAGAGCCACAGAGGTCGAGCTGTATTGGGTTCGCAGCATATAAATCCATATTGGAAACAAGGAAGCAGGAACAGTGCAGTGCGGTGGTACAAGGTACTGAATGGGTGCAGTGCAGTGGGGGGAGCACGAGTCGAGCCTTACCTGGTTCTTCTTCCTCTCCTGCTCCTCCATGATAGTGAACACGCGCTCGATGCCCAGGCTCACGCCCACGGCCGGCACCTGCTTGCCACTGAACATGCCCACCAGGTTGTCGTACCGCCCCCCCGCTGCTATTGACCCCACCTGCTCCCACATGTGTACCCACGGGATGCAGCAAGAGAGGATGGTTGTGAAAAGGTCATGGGCGGATTTTAGACACACGCTGAAAGTGCAGTTTGAGGTTTAGGGAAGTCCACTGTGCAGTGCATTTCCTCCACAGCGCCCGCCTGAGTGACAAATCCAAGTGGCTCAAAACCTGTGGCAACAAGTCACACACACCGCTTGCCCCCTTTCCAATGCCAGCCCACACCCAATCCCTATACTACCAACTACTCTAAAAGTTCAAAGAAGCACTCACAGTGCTGCCGCCCTTGAAGACTGCCTCGTAAATGACCCCCGTGTAATAGTCCAGCCCGCGCGCCAGCGACAGGTCAAACACTACACGCCGCACCGCGCCGCCCATGGCCGCCAGGTAGTCAAACAGCAGCGCCAGCTCAGCGAGCGCCGCCTGCGAGTCAGCGTGGCCGGCGAAGGGCGAGTCGGGCGCCTGGAGTGTGGCGAGCAGGTGGTGCGGCTCGCCCTTGTGCTTGACAAAATCGCCTATGCGGTCTGCTACCTCTGGCAGCAGTCCCTTCTCCTCTATCTGGTGGGACAGAGGGCGTGAGATGGTGGGACAAAGGGTGTGAGAAGGGTACCAGGTTGAAAAAGGAGGGGGAGGGGGGGTGGTGTGGAAGAGGAGGTTAATGAGAAGCAACATATGTAGGTGATGGAGTCATGGAGGGGGTGAGTCAAGACAAGCAGAGGTGAGGGGAATGTGGGAGGGTGTGGGGCGAAGCGATGGCTCAGGCAGAGAGATTCGAAGATGAGTAAAACAGAAAACACAAAGAGTATGGCGCGCTGCCAGGGGCCTCAGGTGCCATGATTAGCGGATGGCATGGGTTGCGTCTTCATGGGGCGGCATGGCATGCCATGGCCGCCCGGTCAAAGCGCAAGGATAACCAGACTCGTCCTCGGCCCCTGGCAGGGATCACATGCACACGCACACTGGGTTACAGCAAGCTGCATGCAACCTCTAGTACAAGCGAGACATCTGACTCAACCCTACAAGAAACCAGTCTCCACTTCCTTCTACCTCACTACTCGCTGCCACCCACCTCTCCCGCCCACCCTGGCCTCCCATGCTGAAACCCCTTCTCCCTCCCCCCAACCCCCTCCTATCCTCCCCCTTCTCATCCCTGCAAGAGCGGGTACCATTTCAGTGCGCACGGCCTCCCAGGGCTCCTTGTCGAGCTTGTCCACAGCGGAGCAGATGGCACGGAACTTGGTCGCCGGCACCCCGCAGATGGCCAGCATGCCGTCCAGCAGCCCGCGGTGGTTCAGCTTGATCTGCCACGGAAGGGAAGGGAGGGAGGGGGAGGGGGCGAGGAGAGGGGAGGAAGGGTTGGGGGGAGCGGAGAGGGGAGGAGATGGCAGCAAGTCAAGAAGTTGGAATTAAATTGGATTTGATTCGACGCATTGGTGGGGACTGAAGGTGGAAGAAAGGCGGCTTGTGGGCAGAGACAGACAGGGTGCGCGGAGTGAGGGCGGGAGGCAGCGGGACAAGTTCCACAAAGAACTCCCTCGGGTTGTGGGAGATCACTGCAGCCAAAAGAGAGGATGGGAAGGGAAGAAAGCAGTGTGGTTGTACCGCCCCTCCGCCCCCTGCACCCCCTGTGGTTCCTGCACCCCGTGCGTCGAATGCACACCATACACCCCACACACCCCACTACCCCATAGTCCGCACCCACACCCCCGCACCCACACCCCCGCACCCACACCCCCGCGCCCCATACCTCGTAGTCGCCGATAAAGAGCTCGTCAAGCAGCTCCGTGAGCACCTTGACCACCTCGGCGTCCAGCACCATGGGCAGACTTTGCAGCACCCCATGCACACCCTGCGCCCCCCTGCAACCTCCCACACCCCCCTGCAACCCCCTGCACCCCGCTGCAGCCCTCTACAGCCCCATTACACCGCCCCACCTCGTAGTCGCCAATGGCGAGCTCGTCGAGCAGCTCCGTGAGCACCTTGACGACCTCGGCGTCCGGCACCATGGGCGCGTACTGCCCCGCTATGTCAAAGTCGCACTGGTAGAACTCGCGGTACCTGCGCACACGGAGGGATGGAGGGGGGGTGGGAAGGGGCGAGAGGGGAGAGGGAGGAGGAGAGGAGAAAAAGGGAGGATATGGGGGAGAGGAATGAGAAGGGGGGAGAGGCGGGAGAGAAGAGAAGAGGGGGAGGGGGCGGGAGAGGGGTTGAGGAGAGGAGGAGCAGGGTGCGAAAGAGGGAGAGGGGTCTTGCAACAGACAAGGGCATGGAAGAGGGAGGCAAGGAACACGGGATGGAGGGGGAAAAGGGGTTAGAAACTGGGGAATAATGGGTATAGGAAGAAAAATGGGGACAGAAGGCGGAAACATGGAACGGGAACAAGTAGAAACAACGGCGACGCCAACTCCCTCAAAACAATAACAGTTGATGCTGCCAAGCAACAGCATGCAGAGCAAGAGCACGAGGGTGCACGGGCAGCAGCAGGAAAGAAAAGAACGAACATAGCAGCGCTAGACAACGACTAGCGCGAAGAGGTGCCAGGGGCCTCAGGTGCCATGATTAGCGGATGGCATGGGTTGCGTCTTCATGGGGCGGCATGGCATGCCATGGCCGCCCAGTCAAAGCGCAAGGATAACCAGACTCGTCCTCGGCCCCATAGGAGAGAGAAAGCTCTGGCTCGGCAACTGACTGACTGACTGACTGACTGACTGACACGCAGATGGCACTGCCACAGCCGCCCAGAGCACTTGTGTGGAATGAGTCGAGAGCAAGGACGATGTGAGGAGAGGGAAGAGGAGAGAAGAGATAGAGGGATGGGGGTACGACAAGATGCCAGTCGCGCGAGCTGCCTTGGTTCTCGACACTGCCCAGCAACATGCTCGTGTACTGCTTTCAGTGAAGAGCCCAGCATCAAACCTCCCACTCCAACCATATCCCTTCCCATACAACCCTGCAATGCCCCTTCACCCCCTCACTTTTCCCCCCATCGCACCCAACGTTTTCCCTCCGAAATCATTTCCCCCCAAAACCTCCGTTTCTCCCCTTCCCATCCCCCTCTCCTCTCACCCTCCCCCTCTCCCCTCCCCCCTCTCCCCTCCCCCTATCCCCGCCCCCTCTCCCCGCCCCCTTTCCCAACCCCCTCCCCAGTCGCACCGGCCGCGGTTCATCTGGGGGTTGTCGCGGCGGTAGACGCGCGCGACGTGGTAGCGCTTGATGTTGCCCACGCTGTGCATCGCCAGGTACCGCGCGAACGGCACCGTCAGATCGTACCGCAGCGACAGAATCTCCCCGCCCTGCGCGCCGAGGGGGAGAGGGGGGTTTGTTGGGGAGGCGGAGGGGGGAGGAGGGAGGAAAGAAGAGAGGAGAAAGGGAAGCGGGGGAGCAAGAGGGTAGGTCAGCGCAAGTCAAGGTGCGTCGACGCACGTCAACGCAGGCAAGCGCGCGTAAGGGCGCATCAACTCGAGGCGTGCGCGCGCGCGGGGTACCTGGTCGGCGAGGTCGTAGATGAGCTTGGAATCTTCGCCGTACTTGCCCATGAGCGTCTCGCGCAGCTCGAACACCGGCGTGTCCAGCGCCACCGCGCCGTGCCGCTTAAACACCGCCGCGATGATCGCGAACGCGCGCTCGCGGATCGCCATCTGGTCCGGCAGGAAGTCGCGCGTGCCCTGCGAGATGGCGCGTGGAGGGAGGGACGGGGGGGAAAGGGGTCACGGGGGGGGAGAGACGAAGGGGAAGGTGGTGCGGAGAGGGGTCGGAAGGGGAGCAGTGGGGGGTGCGGAACGGGAAGAGGAGGGCAGAATCAGACAGAGAAAGAGCGAGAGGGGAGGGGAGAGGGATGAAGGAGCGTGAAGAAGGAAAAACTCAGTGCTTCCTCCCACCTTGGCTATCTTAGGCGCGCGCCTCGACTCGTTGCTTTCAATGGCGCCTCGCAGCGCGCTCTCCAGCTGCGCCACCTCGTCGCCGCGCGGGTCCAGCGCCACCGCCACGCGCTCCACCGCGCCCACCACCGCCACCACCCCCGCGCCCGCGCCCGCGCCCGCCGCAATGCCGTCCCCCCCGGCATTGTCTTGCGCTGCGCCCACGATCCCGTCCAAGAAGGCGGCCAGCACGGCCGTTCCGCGCCCCAGAGCGAGCTCTCCGCCTCCGCCTCCCTTCCCCTTCTTGTCCTTCCCGCCCTCCTTCTCCTTCCCCGCCTTCCGCCCATCCGCTGCGCCTTCCGCGGCCTTCGCGTCTTCCTTCTTCGGCGCTTTCCCTCCCCCCGTGCGCGCTGCCAGCGCCGCCTCTCGCGCGCGCAGCAGCCGCAGAGCCGCCACGGCTTCCAGCGCCAGCACCATCCGCAGCGCCTCCACTGTCGCCAGCGCTGCGCGCGCCGCCATCAGCGCGGGGACGCCGTCATCCCGCGCCCCGCGCTCTCTCCCGCGTCCAGCCGCCCCACCCGCCGCGCCCGCTGCCCCTTCCTCTTCCGCACCAAGCGGGTCAGCCGCCGCGACCGCCTGCGCCACGTCACCCGCTGTCACCTTGGCGGCATCGACCGTCTCCTGAGCCGTCACTAACGCATATGCCACCTCACCCGCCGCGCCTCCCGCGTGCTCTGGCGCGGTAAGGGCTGCTCCACCGTCAGCAGCGCGCACGGCCGAGTCGGCAGGTGCCGCATCTGGAGCCGCTGCTGCTGGCGGCGGCTGCAACGACGACAGCGCCGCGACCATTGCGGAGATGCGACGGACGCTGCAGGCGCCGAGCGGACAGAGCGCGCGGAGAAGCGACGCGACGTGGCCGGCCACCAGCACCGACGGCACATGCAGACGCGTACCAGCCGCCGCGCCGCTCTTGCCCTTTCCCCCACCCTCAGCGCCGCCAGCTGCGCCGCTCTCGCCGCCGCAGCTAAGCTCGACGCGCACGGCGCTCACGGCGGTCTTGACCGCCTCCCTGAGCGGCCCGTGGCACTGCGGAATGCCGCGCACGGCGAGCAAATTGGCTGCGTCCTTGCGCGGATTGACGCACTTGGACCCCGCCAACAGCGCGCGCATGTCACCCGCCACTTCCGCCTGCGCCTTGTGCGCGCCCTCCGCCGTCTCCGCGTCAAGCATTTCCGCCACGTTGGCGCGGAGCGCCTCACAGGAGAAAGCAGCGACAGCGTCTGCTACAGCCACCAGCGACGACGCGGCGTGCACCGCTACAGCCGCCACGCCCACCGACGCCGCCGTGCTTGTCTGAAAGGCGGCCGCCTCGTGCTCGTATAAGGACGGGGAAGTAAGCCCCTTGGATGCTTCCGCGGCTTTACCGCTCGCCGCAGGTACGACGGCTGATTTTAGCGCGTCGTCAAGAGACGATAAGGACGCCGTGCCGTGCTCGTTCCACGTGGCGGCCGATCCTTGGCCGAGCAAGGCGTCTTGCACGGCCTGCACAACAGGCGCGTCTGTGTTGGACGCGGGAAGCGCGAGATCAACGCCCGAGTTGAGCAGATCCGCGAGGAACTGCGGCACGGATGGCCGCAACGACGCCGCAATCCCAGCCGTGCCGAGCAGCTGCAGCGCCTGAACGGCGAGCGCTGCGCGCATCTGCTCGCGTCGCAGTAACTCCGGGTGCGACGCGGCCGAGTCGGCAGACGGTACAGAAGGGGCTGAGGGTGTGGCTTGCTTTGCGGCTTTAGGTAGCGGGTCCGATGCCCGTTGAAGCTTGTCTGTGGCGGCGGCGTCAAGCTCGACGTGCGAGTCGCGTGCCGCAATGTCGAAGACATCCTTGGCCACTAGCGTGGCGCCTCTTCCACCGAGAATCACGCGACGGTGGGAAGCCATGATGTGCCCACCAGTTGTGGCTGCAAAACCAGAACTAGATTCTACACGAGTTGCTCATTCGTTCTGTGAGACTGTTATGGAGTGGAGGTTGAGGGTTTCGCCAGAGGAGAAGGGAGTTGAAGAGATTGTATCGTTATTGCGGTCCCCGTTACATAGGGTGTTGGCTGCCGTTCACAGAGATTGTGTTATGTCCAATTTCCAAACACCCAAAGCTCACCCTTCTTGCCGACCGTTGGATGTAGTTTCTTTCCCGCCTGCGTCGCCGAGGTTCTCTTGCCCGAAAGCCAAGCAAGTATCAGTTTCGACGAATTTCCCTAGTCACCCTTCCCGTCCCACCTGCATAGCGTGTTCCTTTTCAGTTCATCCGTCGTGGCACAAGACGATTCCAGACGGTGCACAGCGGTTTTCAAGCTTCACCGTTTTTCACCTTGACACAACAAGAGTTACCGCACAGAACGAATGAAGGACGAACCCGCTGGACCCACCCTAATTTCCGGGCCTCGATTTCTCCAACTCGTTTGGAATGCATTTCTGCAAATTGTACAACCAATTGACCTTCTAATCCAAACCCGAAGCAGAGTAACAGATAGTTGTGGACTGACACGCCAGCCCTGACGCGACAGACGGCCACCTCGTAAGCCAGGTCGAGAACTCGGCTTCAGCCGAACATTTTCTTTTTGCAGTTTACCGCCTTAGCTTTGCAACGATGTGGCTTCGTTAACGTCCACGTCTCCTCACGTTTACTCCTCGCGCAGTGTGGCTTGCTTTAGTAGGTTCTTCCTGCGCCAGTGCGCCTCGTCGTCAGGCAGACGGCACGACATGGAGCTAGTATAGGGGAACAAGCGCAATCCCCGTGCACACGTACAGACTCGCGCACAGATTATTATTTCTTCTCCGCGCTCCCGTCTTTCCCCCCTCCGCCACTGTCGGGCACCCATGCGCGCGTCCTTACAGTTCCGCCAGGGCGACGGCTCGCACCACTCGCCGTGCGGTCCGCTCTTCCGCCTTAAATTGCCCGTGTCGCTGCTAGGCCTTCCGCTTCCGCTCTTCTCCGGCTGTTCCCTCGGCTCCGCACCTTCCGACGTCTCTCTCTCCCTCGGTACTGCCTTCACCGCCGGTCCCTCCCTCCGCCTCACCTACCGCCCCATCCGCGCATCCGCCCTCTCCACCGCCCCTCGGGATGATTCTACGGATGCCGCCGGGGATTCCGGCGGAAATTCCGCGTCGCTCCATCTTGTGCTGAAGGCGGGGCTCGGTCGGCTCGGGTCGTCCCGCGATGCGTCTTTGTCGGTAGCTGCGGAGCTCGAGTTCTGCCCTTCCGCCATTGCCTCGGGCGGAGCGCCATCCAGTGGCGTTGGGGGAAGCGCCTTCCGCGTCCCCCTGCGCGCGCATATCCGCTTCAAGGCCGAGCCGCGCGTAGGAGACCTTTCGTTCCGCCGGTTCCCCTCCGCTGCGGTAGCTGCAGTGCCGAAAGCAGTCACAGCCGCTTCCGCAGAAACAATTTCGCCTGCGCGGAACGCGAAGCCATGCGCGCAAAGCAGCAGCGGGAGCGGGGAGCCCTCGGTATCCGCGTGCACTGCGCTGTCCATTGGGCCGCGCAGCCGGAGCTCCAGTCCGCAGAGCGGCGGAAGCAGCAACGGGGGCAGCCGGGGGGCCAGCCAAAGGGGCAGTCCAGGGCCGGGAGCAGTGGGCGGAGGCGGGGAAATGGCTTTAGCAGACGGACTAGATGCTTCCGCCGCAGCTGCTTGCAATGGTATTCCGCCCGCCGCCTCCTCCGCCATATCCTCCCCCAGGGGCCCAGCTGCTGCTGCTGCTGCTGCTGCTGCTGCTGCGTCACCCTCCGCGCAGAACAGCGGGAACATCAATGAGGGAGTGGTGGCGGGTGGAGCAAGCGACAGCCCCCCAGGAGAAGGCACAGGAGGAGGCGGGGGCATGGCACAGCTTGCTCTTTCTTCCTCTGTAGCAGTCCCAGCAGCTCGCGTGCTGTCTCAGCGTCTCACGCTCTCCCCCAGCCCCCCTCACTCCCCTACAGCTGCTGCAGCAGCGGCTGCTGCCACAGCGGCGGCAGCTGCAGACGTGGCTGCAGTAGCAGCATCGGGGCAGCAGGTGACGTGGCAGTGGTCTGCAGCTGACGTGGCAGCCGCTGTGAGAAACGCAGGGTGGGGAATCGGCGTACGCAGCAGTGTGCCACTTGGCACTCACGGAGTGGCATCTCTCCGCTGGCGTCTCACCCTCCCTCACTCCACCCCCTCTCCCTCCTCCCCTCCACCTCATCCTCCTGCTCCAGTTGGTTCATCCAGCAGCAACACTCAAAACAACAGCAGCAGCTGGCTGTCGTCTACCCATGCGCCGACACTGCACCTGGATAAGATCAGTGTGGACGTGCGCACTGGCGCCTTCCGCTTCATCCCTGCCTGCTGGGCCATGCACGAACCCCAACCACCCCTTCCAGACTCACTACCTCAGCCCCTCCCGCCGGGTGCTATCTCAGGCACTGGCACCGCCACCACCCGCCCGCCCGGCCTGCCCACACCCACCACTCTCGTTCTGCCAGGTGTCGCGCCTCGGCTGCTTCTCATGCCATCTGGACCCCTTGGGTTCCGGCCTGCTCTGGTGCCGCCAGGTGGCAGCGCAGGAGTGGGTGGCAGGGGGCAGGGGGGAGGCGGAGGGATGGTGGGCGAGCAGGGGGAGGTAGCGCGGCTTAGGAGTGAGCTGGTGGGGGTGAGGGCAGAGGGGCAGCGGCTGAGGCAGCAGGTGGATGAACTCAGAGCTGCAGTGTCCAAGGCCGATGCAGGGGAGGCCGGTAAGGCAGGCGGTGTGGGGGAAACGAAGGGGAAGGGAGGGAAGGAGGGTGGGGCTGGGGCGACTGCAGCTCCAGGGCGGGCAGAGGCAGGCAAGGGTGGTGGCAGTGCTGCTGCTGCTGCTGGCAGTGGGGGTAGCGGCAAGGATGGTAAAGCAGCAGCGCCTGCACCAAGTGCGGCTGGCTCGGCCCCTGCAGGGGTGGGGGCTGGCAGTAAGGCGCAGAGCGGGGGAAGTGGTGGTTCTGAGAAGGAGAAGCAAGGTGGAGGGCTCTTTGGTAGGTGGAGGGGCAAAGGGGACAAGAAAGAGGAGAAGAAGGAGAAGTCAAGTACTACCAGCACTGGCAGCAACAGCAGCAGCAGCGGCAGCAGTGGTGGTGGTGGGGCAGCCAGTGGCAGCAGTGTGCCTGTGGCGAGCAAGGCAGGGCCTGCTGGCAGCACAGCAGCAGGTGCTGTTGCTGGCCCTGAGGGGTTGGGACGCCCAGGCATGGCAAGGGGTTCCGGTGCGGGCGCGAGCATGGGAATGGACATTCCAGTGAGTGCGAGCAGAGCTGATATCACTGCTGTGCGCAATGCTCCTGCTCATGGGCATGCGCATGGTCAAGGGTATGGGCATGGGCATGCCGCTCTCTTGAATGGTCCAGGGGCAACCATGGAGGGGCATGGGCCAGCAGTGGGGAAAGGATCAGTGGCAGGTCAGGGGGCGTTGGGTGCTAGTGCTGGTGCTGTTGCTGCTCAGCTGGAGCTGGAAGAGGGGCTTAGGCAGGCGATTCTGCAGGCACGAGCAGGGGCTGCATAGCTCGCACTTGCAATAAATCACAATCGTTTAGGGACCTTAGTGTGTTTGTTTGGTTGCCATTTACTGTAACTTCGGGAGCGGGTTAGGGTTTCCTCTGACTAAAATTGCCCGTGTGCTTAATATTCAGGTGTGTTTTTTGCCTGTATGGCGATTGATTCAGAATTCTCTACTGTGTGTACCGTATGTTGGAATAACCGTAAGGCTATACTCTCATTCCCAAAGGTATCGCTGTAGCGCACCAAAGAGAATCTGATATAGAGAATGCGCACTAGCTACTATTGCGTTACACTCATATAAAGAGCGCGATAGTAAAGAAAGATGGTGTCAAAGTATATTTGTAACAACAATAATGTGTGTACCATGTTCTAGGCTAGGTTAGGGTTACCCGTACCATTTGTATCCAACTTTCCTCATTGAATGTGTTGCGAATATGTTTTTACGGAATATTCTTATGCAGTACACTGATTGAAGTGCAGGAGCGAGTACCTCAGTATCGAGTATGTTGACTCAAGTTCCGAGCGGCAGGGGCGCATCCGCGTACAGTGGTTGCGCCCCGCGTGGCAGCTGAAGGGTCAGATTCGGGCAGGAGGCAGCGTCTACAGTACGCGAAATTTTCCCGGGGGGCGCGGCAGAATACCGCGCCCTTGCCGAAGCTGAAGAGTCTCGCCAGCTCGACAGTAACTGGGCAACTGAGACGTTACAGCGCAACTGTAATACAGTTGCGCCTTGGTAACTACCTGCCTACCTGTTTCCTATATATTCCAATGTATTGCCATGCTATTATTACACAATTCTCATCCTTGTGTCCGGCCTACCCTCGGCCGCCGCTCTGGCACCACGTTACAAGCCACGAGAGCTACCTCTGAGTGACCATTGCCCCGCCGTAGGGACGTCGTTAATTCCTAGAGTATTTCCGCTACTCTAGCGATCTCTTTATTTCAACAGAATGCACCCTTCTCCTTCTTGACATGGTATCGAGAAGGTCGTTCCACGCTTCCGCGCCACTCGGCCTAGCCTATAACGCCCGCCTCCTAAGGACTAGCATGACAGACCCCAAATCCTAAACCTTAAACCCTAGGTAGCCCGTCACTGCTGTCGCGACGCTGCTTCTCGTCTCGCTCTCAGCAGTCTCCTGCCCGAGTCCGACTGCGTCAACTTCAGCCAGGTTACGTCGGCAAAGGAGTGCTATGATGCTATTGTCTCTCGTTATTCCACTCATTCCTCTGCCTCCCTCGGCCGCCTCCTCATGCCGTTCTTGTTCCCTGACCTTGGTGCGTTTGACACTACTGCTGACCTGTTCACTCACCTGCGCTCACTTGGCGCTAGCTATTGTGCTGCCAGCTCCACTGCCCAGCTTGCTCTCACCCCCCCCCCCCCCCCCCCTCTCCATGTTTGCCACCCTCCATTTCATAGTCATTTGTCTCCCTGACTGCCTCTCGTCTGCACGTGACGCGCTTCTTCGGAAGCACTCCAATGAGCTTACTATCGAACTCCTTGAAACCACTCTCACTGAGATCGAGAGTAACCTCCGCTCGCCTCCGCTACTGCCATAGTAGTTCCCCGTATCTTTCAGGGATGTGCCGTGCCCCAGCTTTCCACCTTCATTGCTTCTCTTGCTGCTGCTGAGTCGTCTGCTACTGAGGAGACTGCAGTTGTTTGCCGATGGTTGGCAGAGGCAAGGGAGGTAAGAAGGGAGGGAAGGGTGGTGGCGGTCGAGGTAGTGGAAGCGGTGGCGGTACTAGTGTTTCAGAAGGAGGGGGCTCGGGAGGCGGGGCCGGCCCTACAGGTACGGCGCGTGGGGGATCTGGTCCTGGGGTTGTGGCGGGGACACAGCAGCAGCTGCCACAGCCGCAGCAGCAGGAGCATCACGTCGAGCAGTGGGGACCTCAGCAGTAGTGGGGACCTATGCATCAGTGGGGACCTCGTGGTCTGGGGAGCGTCGGCCACAGTAGTGGCCCTACCAGCTGGGGACCTCGTCGCGGTGGCCGCGACGTCGCCCTCTGCCTGTACAAGATCCAGACTGGTCCGGGTGCAGGTACCACCTGCAAGCGCCCCGACCGTTCCGCTCTGCACTGCTTTAATCGCCTCGACAACCTCTATCGTCAGCACCACAGACTTCAGTCGCCCCCCCCCGCACTGGCAAGTTCTGATGAGTCATGGCTACCGTGTGTTTAAGATGTCCATGGATGTTGTTTATTCTGCCATGTATGTTGTTGTTGACTATAGTGTTGATGAATCTATTTGCTCGCGTGCACCTAGACTAGGATCTTTGCCTGTTGCTAGTGTAGGTGCTTGTGTTTCCAGTGTAGGTGCTTGTGTAGTTGTTAGCCCATATGTGACTACTGATGCCGCGTCTCTTTCCTTCACGCTTGACTCCAGCGTGTCCTAGTGCTTCTTCCGCGACCACACTACTATCACACACTTCCAGCACTTGTCATGGTTGCTTTGGCTGATCCCACCTCGGAACAAGCCGTCGCTCGCAGTTCTATCACACTCCCGTGTCCGGCTGTCCCCTCTAGTTCTCTCACAGGTCTCCACGTCCTCTCGATCTCAAGGAACTTGGTGGATTTTGGACACCTTCAGAACCGCGGGGTCACAGTCAATTTTCCAACACACGAGATGTCACAGTAAAAAAACATGTCGTGTAGCGTTCGCATGCATACGAATTCCTAGCGAATGGTCTTGCGCGTCATGCACACTGTCCCGTGCCTGCACTCGACTTGTTGGGTGCCTACTGTACTTGCTAATCTATAGGCAGGTGCAAGTCGGGTCCAAGGCTGGTCCGCAGCTGGAACAGGCTAGTCCTCTGCGGAACAGACGAGAACCAGCGCTAATGTTCCACCCCCTTATCGCCTCTGAAACCCAAAGCACATTCAAGTTTGGTCGGGGGTCAAATTTTAGCCTTTCGTTTTAACACTGTTTTATTTAGGGCCACCTCTGATGATGGTCTGGATTCGTTTGGGTGACCTTAACACAACCCAAAGGACGTGTTGCAAGTACGCGATCGATCGCCACTCTAAATCGATCCCTGAGTTGGCGTACTAGTGTAGATTATAGCTACCATGCTACAGTACAAACACTGCGCAGGACAGGAAAAGCTGGCGACGGTTCGCTCGATCGCCTTGGCAGTCACGACCGATCATCAGCTCGACAATATTATAATGTAATTTGGCGATCCTTGTACAAAACCCTTTTTTTTTGCGGAACGATCATATCGAGGGCCACAAAACGAGCTGATGGTCTATTGTAACGCTCGCTATAGTGCATCGATTCAACGTCTCGATCTTTCGGTTATTGCACTTCTAACAGCGTGCTCGTTTGGGTATTTTAGTGTCGTTTCCATGTTAAAAAATAACTCACTTTACCCAGAAAAGAATCTAGGGTGAGTCGAGTCCAAAACGCATGTGCCATCTGTCAGGAGAATGAACGAGGAAAATGAATGAACTAGCAGCAGGATGGGTACAAGTAGGAAACCTTAATTGGGTTGTACCCCATATGGGCTACCCCACTATAGCCTACACAATAAGCAGCATATAAGTTTGACACACCCCCATAGGCAAAGTGGGGGAGAACAAGAGGTCACAAGACCAGTCAAGAAAGGCAAAGCAAGCTCAGGGTGGATCACGAAGTCACCACGCATTCTGAGCACAAGCAAAAGGCCACAAGGCCAGTTCACATGCAGAGTTATATATAAAGGAGAACAAGCAGTACAGTGATCACAACCTAGCAAGTGTAAGCATGCAAGTATAAGTATATAGATCACAGTACAAGCAAAGTCAAGAAGTGAGCAAGTGAGGCCAAGTAGGGCACAAGGCCTAGAACAGTATAGAAACGCTGATGATCACAAGGCTGAAGTGCCTTGGTGAAGATATCAGCAGTGTTGGCCTGAGAGGCCACGTAAACAAGACAAAGCTGACCACGCTGCTGCAACTCTTGAGCAAGGAAGTAGCGCAGAGCGATGTGCTTCGTTCTGTGCTCCAGTCTGTGCTCTTGACACAAGGCAATCATGGCCTTGTTGTCGACGTACAGAACTGGAGGAGAACAAGGCGGCTCTCCCAAGTCGGTTAGCAGGTAGGTGAGCCAGCGTAACTCCTGTGCAGCCATGGCCCCTGCGTAGATCTCAGCCTCACAACTGGAGCTGAGAACAGAAGACGAGCGGGTAGACCGCCACGAAACAGAACAGGAGCCAAGGTTGAAGGTGTAACCCTGTGACGACCGCTGCGTAGCCAAGTCGTCAACCCAGGAAGCGTCTGCGTGACCAGTGAGGACAACTCGAGCCCGTCCTCCAAGCACGAGGCCCATGCCCGACGTACTGCACAAGTAGGGCATCACCCTCTTAGCGGCCTTCCAGTGCTCTGGTCGGTGTCTCCCGGGCGCAACGTAACGTGCCAAGATGCTAAGAGGGTAAACAAGGTCAGGTCGAGTGCAGGTCATCACGTTCATGAGGCAGCCCACAAGCTCTGGATACGGGCCACTCGGCTCTACGGACTCATCCGAAGGCAGAGCTGAGAGCGAGTGACCGGTAGGCAGAGGAGTGGACTGTGGCGAGGAGTACTAGAAGTCGAAGCGCTGAAGGACCTGCTGCACCATGTGTGACTGAGTCAAGGTAATGGTGCGCCGTGCTCTGTCCTGGGTGATATGCAAGCCAAGATAGCTGCGCAGCTCACCCAGGTCTGTGCACGTGTGTCTCCTCTGCAGCTCCGACTTCACGTGGGCCAGTCCAGCAGTGTCAGCAGTGGCAAAGACCAAGTCGTCGACGTACACGAGGATGTAGAACGGCGGTAGCGAAGTGTCGGTGCGTAGAAACAGCGACGGGTCAGCAGTAGAAGGAGCAAACCCAAGATCCGCAAGAGTCGTCCTCAGTGTGTCGTGCCACTCGCGAGGCGTCTGGCGGAGACCGTAGAGTGGCCGCCGGAGGCTCCACTGGGTACCTGCAGGGAACTACTCAGTGAAGCCAGGTGGGCGGCACAGCCAGATCTCGTGCAGGCTGCCCTGTAGGA